CTTGTCCCTACACTCTATAGAAGCACTCAACTTGACAACTAATTATATAGACTCAAATCTCTCTCTGAGACCGGTTTACGAGTTGCGACGTCATCCTTAACCCGTTTATACACTCAATAGAAATATCCGGGTCGTCTAAAATCTCTCTCCAAATCGGAGTTATGGAGCTGTGGCAACACTAAAAGAAAATGGAGTATTTAATTTCTGGTGGTCGCTGCAGTAAACCTAACTCAAAGTTATTGGCACATTGTCCGAAGAAGAGGAATAATTGGTCGTAGTTGGAAGTGTCCTCTCCAAATCCAGAGCTAAATATTTGGTTATTTTGTGTACCCTTCAACTTTACAGACAATAAAAAATGCATAACTGTGTAGAGGCAGCAAAAGACAAAGCTGGAGACAGAGTCTATTCATGGTGGCGTTAATGCGGGCCCTCTTATCGATTCCCATGGCGGACTATAAATACCCACTTTCCTCTTCCCCTTTCGTGGCAACCTCATTTGCATCATCTTCTTCTTCTTCTTCTTCTTCACTTCCCCTGCTTCCCTTCTCTGCAACTCTGCACCTTCAGCGGTCTCCTTCTTCCGACCGCTGCCGGTTGCTGTAGTTGCTCTTCTAGAAACACTCAAAAAAACCCAACAGCACAAAACCAAATCATGTCGCCATTGAAGATCTTTCAAGCTTCCTGCGACGACAAAAAACAGGGCATCGTCGCTGTTCTGTCCTCCGACCCCGACCGCTCCAAATCCCAACCTTCTTCTCTCCGAAGAACACTCTCTGCTGACATGTCGTCCCATAAATGGATTTCCCAAATGAAAAATGTCGCTTCTTGTCAAGAATTTGGTCTCTGGGATTCAATTCAAGAAAGGGAGAAAAAGAAGAAGAAAACAGAGGAGGATAAAACAGAGTCTGCTGATATTTGGGGCTCTGTCATCAAATCTCGTAAGGATTTTAATGCTAATCCTTATGTTCCTCCTCGGCAAATGGGTAAGTGTTTAAGTGAGAAAAGCCTTGAGATTTGTACTGAAAGTCTTGGATCGGAAACCGGCTCTGATGGGTTCTCGTCGTATCCATCATCGGAGAACGGAGATTCCGACGAGGAGGAGTTTGAAGTAGAGGATCAAGGGAAGCCGATGAAGTATAGCTATAAAAAATCACCCCCCCGCCGGTCGTTTCCTCCACCGTTGCCGACACTCTCCGGCCCGGATGGAGAGTTAGTACGGATGCAGCCCCGCCGTGACAACGGCCGGTTGGTCCTCGAGGCCATGTCCGTGCCTTCACAGAGCACCTTCTCCGCCCAACGTCAAGATGGCCGCCTCGTTCTCACCCTCGTTAATCGCAAGCCCATTAACGAGGTAAATCACTTAATTAGCAAGCTAATCTTGATCAAATACTGCATTAATTATGTAAACAGTCAATAAAGTTTAATCCTTTTGTTCATATTCTTAATCCAGATCAAAGAAGAAGAGAAAAAGATTGAAAATTCATCACAATTACCAAGTGGGTTACTAAAATCCCACAGATTAGCATCAATGATGAACAGAAAATCAAGAGTTTTAGCCAACAGGAACCCATCACTCCCTCCACGCCCAAAGACAGCAGCAGCAGCAGCTCAGCCAATAACCCCCTGCGCCGCCCCACCTACCGCAGCGTTGTTGAATGCCTACGAGTACTACTGGAGGTCGAAGCCGAGCTCGAAAGCGGGGGCGGCGGCTGTGAACCCGCTCGGGCAGCAGGGGGCGGCATTCAAGAATAGCAACAGGAAGATTATGATATGCAAGAACAGAGCAGTGAATGAAGAAGAACAAATGTTAGTGATGTCTCCAAAAGGGAGCTGTAAGGAAGTCCGGCGGACGGCGGTGGTTTGGGAGCCACGGTGCATTGCCACATCCTAAGTAGTTGATGATATTCATTTGGCGAAGGCTGTAAGCTAACTGTTGTAGCTGGGTGTGAATTGGGTTCTTAATTTAGTGTTAACTTGCCTTTCCACTCTTTGGGGAATTATGTTGAAAAGAATAAAAAGGTGTTGAAAGAGAAAGAGTGAGAGATTATTACTTTTCATTTGAGAGAAATATTTACCCTTCATGAAGTTTAATAATATATATAGTTAAATTATTAATTTAGATTTTGAATTTTGATCCATATCGAGACTCCGAACACGTACATATAGGCTAATATTATGAAGGATTAGGTTGAACTAGATATATGATGTGAGATCCCATATCGGTTGAAGATGAGAACGAAACATTTCTTATAAGGGTGTGAAAACATCTCCCCAACATACGCGTTTTAAAACCGTGAGGCTGATTGCAGTACATAACGGGCCAAAACGGACAATATTTACTACTGGTGGATTTTGGGCGTTATAAATGATATCAGAACTAGACATTGGGTTGTGTGTCAATGAAGACTCTGAGCCCCTATGGATTGTGAGATCTCATATCAGTTGGAGAGGGGAATGAATCTTACAACAATTCAAGAGGGGAATGAATCTTACAACAATTGAAGAGGGGGAATGAAACATCTTTATAAGGGTGTGGAAACCGTGAGGCTGACGAAAATACGTAACGAGGCTAAACAGATAGTATTTTCTAGTTGTGGGGTTGAGCTTGGAGCGTTCATATGATACGAGAACACCCTAATTTGAGCTGCGGCTATATCGTAGCTCACCACGAGTAAAGTCATCAGGTTCCTCATCTTTGGTCACTTTTCATTATCTAGATTGGAATATTTGTTAACCTAAACAAATATCTTTTAAAACATCCAATAACATATTCAGGCTAGCAATCATAAAAGGCTGAATAAATGCTCACGTCAAAAAAAAAAAATCTCTATCAACTAAGCAGAAGATAGAAAGAATATATACTCTTTTTTAGTAATAGAAAACTCAAGGGTGCATCTTGTATGTGATCTTCAAACTCGATTCAAATCGGCTAATATAATCTTAAGCTTGAGCTGTTACAAATGGTATTAGAGTCAGCCACTGGGAAGTGTGCTAACGAAGACGTTGGCTCTCAAGGAAGGTTGATTGTTAGGTCCCATATCGGATGGAGAGGAGAAAAAACATTCCTTACAAGCATATATAAACCTTTCTCTGACAGACACGTTTTAAAATCGTGAGGTTGATGACGATATGTAACAAACTGAAGGAGACGATATCTGCTAGCGGTAGGTTTTAATTGTTACAAATGGTATTAGAGCCAGACACTAGACAGTGTGACAACGAGGACGTTGGCTCCCAAAGAAGGTGGATTATTAGGTCCCATATTAGATGGAGAGGAGAACGAATCATTTCTTACGAGGGTGTAGAAACCTTTTTCTAACAAACGCGTTTTAAAACCGTGAGACTGACCACGATATGTAACGAGCTGAAAGAGACGATATTTGCTAGCGGTAGGCTTGGATTATTACACTTCCTAACTTAAATGTTGAGCAAACTCGACACTCATGAAAGATGTTACCTTTCACAATTCCATTCATACAGCATACTAGATTAGATAAACACATTACATCACATCAACCGTTAAATAACACATAACGAACGACCAATAATAAAAATAAAAGATCAAACTTAAAAACGAAGGACCAATAATAAAAATAAAAGATCAAACTTAAAAACGATTCGATTAGTGAGAGAGAAGTACACACAAAATCTTAGCACCATCTTTGACGAAGTTGAAAGTGTCATGTCTGTCTATGACATTGAATGGCTATGGCTGTTGTTTTGGGTAAGAATTTAGAGAGCCAATAAAGCTTTGAAGTTGGGTCACTTCCGAAATGACTGACTGCCCTCTATTATGGGAGCATCATGATCCGCCATGGATACGCCTTTCCTCTTTCACATTCAAATTCTCTTCAACTTTTCATCTTTTTTTACCCACCATCCTCATCGCGTAACAAACGGAGGATTTCTTCTTATTCACCGAGGTAAAGCAGCATGTCCACTAGTAGCGCCAGTCGCGGTTGACCCATCATCATCTCGCGTCGGATCCCTCTTGGATCGGGAGGCCGAAGCACAGTGAGGGATTGAATTGGAAATATATATACACGAATTGGGTAAGAGTTATTTACTGATTACTAGGGTGATTGATTCAAAAGAATAATAATAATGAAGTGAAGATATATGCTCCATTATTGAAGGGGTTATTAAGGCTTGTGAGCTCTTGTAGCTTTTGGGAATCATTGGGCTTTTTAAACCCAATGTTGGGTCAAGATCCAAGCCTTATTGAATTTGGGCTCAACGAGCAAGAGCATTGGGTTGTGGCCCAAAAGAGAGCCCACATAGAGAGGTGAGGTAGGTCCATAATTGGAAGTTCTACCTTGGAAATGTAGCGGTGTATTGTCTTTCCCGATTTGGTCCGTTCGGTATCGTCATCAGCCTCACAATTTTAAAATGCATCTACTATAGAGAAGGTCTACCGCTACTCCAACTAGTGTCTCGTACTGTCCAATGATTGACTCTAGTACTATTTGTAATAGTTTAAGACGACTACTAACAGATATTGTTAGCCCTACTCCAATGACTGTCTCGAACCATTTGGTGACAGGCACTGATACCATTTGTAACAGTCAAAACCCACCGCTATCAAATATTGTTAGTCCTACTCCAACCCGTGTCTCGCACTGTTCAATGACTGGCTCTAGTACCATTTGTAATGGTCCAAACCCACCATAGCAAATATTGTCCACTTTGACTTATTACATATCAATCACCATCAACTTCACAATTTTTAAAACACGTCTACTAGAGTACTAGAGAGAGATTTCCACACCCTTACGAGGAATGTTTCATTCCTTTATTCAACCGACATGAGATCTCACAACTTGTAATTTCATCTTGCCCAACTATATCAAAGGAAAACTAGCTCTATCACTAAGGCAAAGAGTCGTATCTTCCTTGTAGCCTACAATATGTCCTTCATTTTGTATCATGCAATGCCTTTTCTAGGACATAAAAGTGAGGTAATCGAGTTATACAGAGCACTCATCAGTTCAAAAACAGAATAGTGCAGCCATAAGGACAAACTTTTATATTTCTTTAATGGAACTCAAGCCATGGGGATGTGTAATGGAGTAAAGCGTTCTTGAGATAAACAAGAATTTCCATCCATTCAACAAAAAAGTACAAGAACTAACCTAACTTGGATCATCACTTCCCCAAGCTTCATCCCTCAACTTGTGGTGCCTTCTTCCAGTTTTCTTAGTCCTTTCATCGCGAAGGCAGTGGGGAAATCTGGAAACCTCAATCCTAATCCTTGAGCGATCAGCCGCCGGGCTATTCTAACATCAGTCTTTGGCCTCAGCTTTGCAGGCTCCAGATCTGACATTACCACAGTAAACCAAAACCAAAAATGGAACATTACCTTTTTTTTCAATATAAGGTTAAAAGGGAAGATCTTATGAACGCTAGCAAATTCAAGGAGCAGCTCATACCACTCGGTGAAATTGAGCTCAACAGAGTATCATTCTCATCAAGTATGCGTGCAGTGAAAGGAGATCTAATACGATTCAGAGCCTCGAGTGCTGCATCAAAAAATCAAGATAGTTATCAATGCATGAAACAACTTCATCAACATTACCTAGAGACATAAACTGTGCCGAAAATTCTAAACTATTTACCAGCTGATGGTGTCTGAAAAACTACAACTACGACTGACTCATTGACCCAGCGAAGGAGAACTCCAGAATTCATGCACCTCCCAAGTAGCCTTTCAAGTTCTATTGTTCTGGTAGTCGGTGGAAGGTCAGCTAGGACAAGAACATGTTGAGTACTATAGTGTTCTGGATTCACACAAACTAAAAAGGCTTAGCTCTCGTGTGATAATTATGACTTCATGTCCACAAACATCAATATAAAACACATTCTATCATAACAACGAATAATTTCCTTCCATCATATTTGAAAACTGTGACATACTTAACACTTGAGGGGCATCTTCCGCCTGCAATACTTGAGGAGCATCTTCCCCCTGCAATACTTGAGGAGCATCTTCCCCCTGCAATACTTGAGGA